TTTTAATCTTTAGTGAAACTGTCCTAACAAGAAATGTGTGCCACAGTTTTATTTATTTATTTTTTTGGTACTGGGGATCGAACTCAGGACCTTGCGCTTGCAAGGCAGGCACAGTGCCACTGAGCTAAATCCCTGGCCTGCCAGGTTTTTTGTTTGTTTGGTTTTTTTGTTTTGTTTTGTTTTGTTTTTGAGACAGGGTCTCACTATGTAGTTCAGACTGCTCTGAAACTCACTGTGTAGCCCAGGCTGGTCTCCAACTCACAGCGATCCCCCTGCCTCAGCCTCCCAAGTGCTGGGATTACAGGCGTACACCACCACACCCGGGCTCCTGCCCACCAGTTCGAATAGCTGCTTAGTCTTTGATTACACAGGTGTAATACTGCAAAGTTTCTCACCTGATACTACACACACACACACACACACACACACACACACACACACACACACACAATCTGAAATGACCACTCTATACATGTATCTTTGTGCATGTCTGCAATTACTTACATAGCATAAAATCCAAGAGTGGTATCAATTAGCCAAAAGCATTATTATAGTTCTTGGTACCTATTGTCTTGCGTAGAAAGGTACAATTACGTTACATGATCATAGTAGTCACAACTGTTTCCAATTTTTATGACTTTATAAACACACCCTTATTACCCTTAATACCTTAATATTATTGTTGTTGGTGGTGATGGTTTGTTTTGCTTTTAACTTTTGGAGAAAACTTCTCACTGATACCAGAGAGTATGTTCTTATTTATCTTAGCCAAAGAGAGGACACAGACCAATCCTCGTTGGGTCATCTGTGTGTAACACCTCCCTCAAATAGGGACCACGGTCAGCACCAGAGCTTGGCCCACAGTCTCTAAATGCAGCTGCTATCACAAATCTTCAACTGCTGCAATTCAGGATCTATCCCAACAGTGTGCCACAGAACTGACTGTATTACACATTTGCCAAGTGAACAAAAAGGTTTCTGTTTATTGCATTAATGGCTTCTAAAGAATATAAAGAAGATAACTACAACTTGGATAGTTCCTGAAATTAGGAAAGTCTGATACAAAAATAATCACCTGTTCCAAAATGATTCCTAGACCTTTTTTCTAATGAGTTGGGTTTTCCAAACCTGAGTTTTCTTACCCCTCCAAACAAAGGAAAGATATTTTCAATGTAGATGCCAACATCTACACAAAACAGGAATCTAATGCAAGATGCATCAAACACGGACAAAATCTCTGGAGACTGGATCCAGGCGGCATTTCCACTACAAAAATCCAATAACCCAAAGCCATCAAATTGAATGAATAGCTAATAATTGCATTGTTGCCCTTCTTTTATTCTAGAAAAATAATTTAAAAATTAAACTGCATGTGCAGATATGAGGGAATTATGCCGCTGGCAATGTTAATCACTTTGGAATTTACAAAGGATTCCCTATATACTCACTCCATTTTTTCTGTCCTTATCTGAATTTCAGTATTCTTCATTGTGTTGCAGTTGTTATGATTATTGCTTTTTAGGGAAAAACCTCCTAGCATCTTAGAATCACAAATATGAGAATTATAAAGATGCTGACAATAATCTAGCCCATGCCCCTTCATTTTAACAATACAGAAACAGTGACTCCGAGAAGTTATAAACAGCAGAGCCCAAGACTATGGAAATAATGACTTAATTTCATCTCTTCTCAAATCCCATTAGAGCTCTGCTTTTGTATGATTTACACGCAGCTGCCTTTTATTAGAAAAAGATGAAGGCACGAAATAGAGTGGACATTCATCCTTAGGAAGAACTTTAGACTGTCAATTTACATTAAGTAAGATCTTACAAAAAGCACAAAGCTAGATTTTTTTTCCCCCAAAGATTCAGATAATGTCATTTAACTATCAGGAGACAATACAATTCAGTCTTGAAGTTGAAAGAGAATTGAAATATTTTCCAGGATAGCCACGTTTAGACCTGAGCTGATAAAAGACCACAGAGGTGCAGCGTGCAAGGTCCCATGACTACGAGAGCAGAGGCAGTTCATCCCTAACTCCTTGCTTCCGGTTCTTTTCATCCTGTCAGGCTGACTTTTCTGTATTACAGCCAGGTAGGGTAGCTGGCATTTTAACTTACAGAACTCTTAGGTATTAGAAAGCATCAAGTCATGACCCTCTGGGTTTCTAGGGCAGCGTGCCGTGGCCTTCCTATTTTTTCTAGTCTCTGTCCATGGTTTAAGGGCAGCTCCTGCTCTTTTAGTCCACCAGGGTCACTGGTTTCAAAAGGCAAAGCAAAATACCACACACAAACTGGGACCTGGCGGTAAAAGATGATTTAACACCGAGCAGCCTGACGATGTGGGGGACCACAGGTGTCCTGCTGCTAATGGGCAGCATAGCTGGCTCTGACTCCTTGCCACCTCTGGCCACTTGGGCCCTCTCTGATCAGGCTACACTGAGGACCAGCTCAGCCACCTGAGGGCTACAATTCTTAAACCAAACTCTCCACATCCCATGGTGATGGTGTAACATCCTCCTCTGCCTCTCTACACCTCAGCTTGCCCTCTGATAAAAGGGCAGAGTCCTCTCCAGGCCTAATGTGCTGTGGTCTACAATTTAGGGACGGTCATTTCCACAAAGCGAGAGGGAGAGGTGGAGCTCAGAGCGCCTCCTGATACTCTTCGCTGGAGTCCTGACCCTCCTCCTCCCTGTGTCTCTGCCAGCCAAACCAGCCAGGCTGGGGGGTGGGGTCATATTTAGAGTGCGCCCGGCATGGTGGAGTGGAAAGAATTGCTTAATCCCTAGGAACAACTGGAGGGGTCAGGGAGAGCAGGGCAAAGGAGAGAGAACCCAGAGGGATGTTCGGAACAAAGCAGGAAGTACGGGAGGAAGGGCTGGCTCACACCTACATTAGATGAAGCACACTCTTAAGGCACAGGCTCCATTCTAGATGTTATCCTGCCAGGACAAACGTTGGGAAAGTCATTAAATGCTGGTTGGAATGCTACCGACAAGCACTTACTTCACTGCGGCATGACACTGCTTTGGGACAATCCCGTCACAAAGATTTGCTGCAGCCCACCCAGAGGATGGGACACAGAGCAAACTATAAAAATCCCTTCCGTATGCCTCTGTGGAAGTCAGATCCAGACTAGGACCTCTGCACAACAGCGAGGCCCACGCGTAACCACGAAGCTACCAGCTGGAGCTGCGTTTACCAGTTCCACTTCCCGGCTGTTGGTAGCCACCGTCCAGCTCACGCTGTCGCTTAGGCTCCAGCACTGCACCCTGCATGGGGGGAACCCCCACAGCCATGCTCAATCTGCATCTTTGTTACAATTTTCAGGCAGGTGACAGTACAGGCTTTGAAGAAAGGGCAGCAAAAGGATCGCGCGGATTTGTGGCACAGCTGCCCATTCCAAATCCACATAAAAGGACACTACCAGCACACGGCAAAATACTGAATTTATGTTTTAAATTACCTTTACTCATATTAACCAAAATGTACCGCCAGTGGTGATGCCACCGTCGCTCTGTTCGGAGTCGCTAGACCTCACGTAATTGTTATCAAGATGACAACCTTAAAAAGGTAAAAATACCAACAAAATGTGAAAGTGCATGAGTAATAAAGGTCTGTGCTCCAGGAGGGGTCTCTGGCAGAAGTTCTACTCTTACTGGAAAAATCTTAAGAATGCAAGCTCACTGGGGATTTCCAAAAGGCTCAGGCAAGCTTCAGAGTTGAGAATGACTTTCTCGGAGGTGGTCACATTAGCAGAAAGGGGAGACTCACACCAAATCCGAAACACCGGTGAAGGCAGCGTTCGGACACATGATACAAATCTGGACCACATCAGAAGGTACAATGAAGAAGAAGGTCACCATTAGGATATGACAAGTTCCCATCTGTGCTCATTATGTAGTTCACACTGCCTGATTCCTGGTAACCACAGAATGTTAATGATTTCTCCTCAGTCTCAAACTGGACTCTATTTTTTGATGTTCTCTTTTTTAAAATCAGGTTTTCTAAGGTGTTATTTATTTTGAGTAAATTTTACCCATTAGCGTACAAACTATGGATTGGAAAATCTCACACAATCACATAACTACCATCAAAATCATCACAAAGAAGTTTCACCACCCCAAAGACTCCCTGGTGTCTCTTTATAGTCAGCTCCTATCACTGGCCCATGACCACTGATTTGATAAAACCAGACTGTACTTTAATACAAATTTCTACACTGTTTAGTCTTCCCCTTCAATCTCTGCCATATTTTTATCGACTCTCACACATACCAACATGAGGTTGGAATACAATAAAACCAGGATATATTTTATAATCAATGGCATTTTATATTTGGCAAAATTTTTCTTCTTAGATATACATGAAATAACAGTGTGTCTTAAAATGTACGGTGCCTTTAAAAAAATCAATGAAGTACAATATTAAATTTTCTATTTCGTAACATTCTCTGGATACTCACCATGTGCTAAGCATTCTTCTAGGCAATGGCAATACAAAACTGAACTACACGATTCCCAAGAACTCTCAGGGGGGAAGGGCAGATTAATTGCAATATCACATGGGAATGTCTCTAGCAGAGGGTGATCCACTGAATAGGACTAAACAAAGTTGTTTCTACATTATCTCTAATCAGCCACAATTCTTCTTCCAGGAACAATGTCCCCCCAAATCATATGCTTCCATTTACCCAGGAAATACCGATGAGTTTCACTCTGCTCATTCCAAGACTGAGTTATTGCCATACCATCGGACATATTGCCTCAGAACAATCCAATTATTTTTTTCCACACTACACTGCTGTAGGAGAGAAGTCTCATTTTGGTGTTCAACAGCTGTAAGGGTTTTACGATCATATCGAAAGAGAAGTCACTGGAAATAACTGCCCAATCTGTGAAAGGCAGATGTCCTAAATCCTTCCCAGACAGGCCTCCAGGGCCCACATTTTTCCCTGGTCAACTTTTAAAGGGGAAAGTAGAGAAGACTCAGGGCCCTTACCTGGTTCCTGAAAGTGCTCTTCATTGGACAGAGTTCTAGATAAGATAAGTATTAATGCTTCTTTAAATTGGTCAAAATGCACCTAGGAAAAGAAAAGAAAAAACATTTAAAGTCATTTCCACAAAACCATCTAAAAGGTCTGAGAACCATTTTGTCCCATCCTGGCACCACTGAAGCGAATCCTTTCACATTTTGTCCTGTTCCCTTTTTTTATTTCTCTAAAGCACAGCAGGGAAAGTGGGATGTGAATTTTTTTGCAACCTGTGCCATAAACACATTGCTGTTTATATCAATACTAAGAAAGCTATTTGGCAAAACTCTCTTTGTAAACACAGGAAAAGATAACACTCTGAACTCTCAGCTCCTTTTATTTTTCTGAAGATCAGAGGACAAAGATGTTAGGTTAGACATTAGAAGAAACCTCCCAACAAAAATGAACCACAGCCACAGTTCTCCATACACTTTTATCTCTTAGGGCATAAGCGCTCCTTCGAGGATGATTCAAGTATGGTCTTGCCTAGGGCTGCTATATAATATTTATCTATTACCCAAGGCCTCTGTGAGTCTATAAAGCAGAAAAAAATCAAATGCAAACACAAAAGATAAAAGAGCCCTGAGAAGTATTTCCATGAATCCATAAAAATACAATTGCTTTGAAGTGGGAACGAACTCTAGTTTTACTTAAGGAAATATTCAATCAGAACTGGAATATCACTTCACTTAAATGTATTTCTTCACCAAATGTATTTCTCTAGAACTGCAATTTATGTGCTCTTACCCCAGGACAGGAGAGAGAGTATTTCTTCTCACTATAATTCTAGCTTGATAATGGTGCCTCCTGTTTACACAGAACCCTGCTGGTAAATATAAAATGAAAGTGGGGTTTGGGGAAGAAAATAAAGACCAAGATATATCATGTAAAGGTACAAACTCCCAGTGACGACTGTCATCATATTCTATACAAAGAATGTACCCACAAACTTAATGAATTAAAAAAAAATGAAAGTGGGTAAATGTATAATGTGTGTGCTGCGGGCCTATTTGGATTTCATTACAAACACTGCTGAGGTTTAAATATAGGTGACAGATTTAAAAACACTTCCAAATTAAATGTGGGAAAGCAGCACATCCTGTTAGTCTACACCATCTAAACAATGGAGAAAAACAGCAGAGAACGTCTTTGTGTGCAGATGAAAGCAGAGCAGCAACCTTGATTTATATGTCATAAAATTCTATTTGCTTAGTTTATAACACTCTCCCAAATAATATATGCCTTCTGTACCATATCATTTTCATTAACTGAAATAACTTTCCAAATTCATATTTCTTTAGACTGTGTGGAGTTTTTTTTAAATTTAAGGCATTCAACTTGATGGTTCAAGTACATATGCACAGTGAGACAATCACCACCATAGGTTAATTGACATAGCCATTACTCATGTAGTTACTTTCCTTTTTAAAGTGTGTATGTGTGTGTGCACGTGTGTGGTGTTATGAACACGTAGGATCTACCTTCTTGGCAACTTTCAGGTTCAACTGCATGGATTTTAAATAGCAACATAAATGAAGGAGCCAGAACAGGGATCTGTCAAGGGAGGCAGGGCATCTGCTGAAGAGCCAGGACAGTGAAACAACGGCAGAGATGTAGTGGTGCTAATTGGGTTTCACAGCTGACAAATCACTCTGGAAACTGCAGGAAGGAGGAGCATGTGGCTCCTGCTTTGGAGAAGACAGGCTTCAGGCACGGGGCCTCCCAGCTCCAGTTCACAAGGGCAAGGCCATCTTCCCTTCCAGCCAGTTCACAAGCATCGCAGACCTTTGGCTTCTCCCAAATAGGGCCCTTGACAAGCATCTCCTAATTCCTACCAGAATCTTCTCTCCTTCTCTGGGAACGCAGCGGGCAGGTCAGCAGGATCCATGCAGGATATGCAGCCAGATGGGTCCAGGTCCTAACTCCAGCTCTGCCACTCCCTTTGTCTGTGATTTGGCTAAACTGCTAAGCCTCTCTGGGCTTTAGTTTGCTCATCTGTAAAAAAATCATGGGACTATCTAGCAAGTGATACATATGACTCACTTTCCAAATATTTACTGAGCAGCTGCTATCTTCCAGACACCATCCTAGGCCCTGGCGACACAGCAGGGATTGAGAATGACAAAATTCTCTGCTGTCAGCTCACTGTCTCGGGAAACATCACAGGGAGTCAAGCAGGTGCTGTGCTAGGAGCACTGCATACACTGTGTGTTTCGGAATCCTCCTCACCCCAGGAGCGTTAGGGAGGTGTGCAGGTGGGAAGAAGATCTAGGGAAGGAGGGAGAAAGGATGGAAAGGGGAAGTAAAAAGGATTACGATGCTACATGTACACGCACCAACTCCCCACGAGGAACGCGGTCATTCTGTATCACAAACCCATGCAAATAAATAAACAGATAACCTCAAAGCATAGTCAGGCTGGATGATGCCAAGCCCTGCAGAGGCCGGGGGCATTGATGACTCTTGCACACTGATGGCAGGACGGTGAAGCATAAAACAAAACACCTTAGGACATCTTAGGACTTTTTAGGTGCCTTACAAAAGTTAGTACTTCTAACAGGTATAGAGATGGCCATATTTTAAGGCAAAGCAGCTGGCCATGGAAGTGACTCAGACAGCCAAGTGGAGACTGGAGATGGCAGTAGGGAGAGCTGGGTATCTGTCTCCTCAGCTCCAGAATCGGAGACTCAGCCTGTCTGCTGTGTGCGGTGAGCTCAGCTGGGGATATGCGTGGAAGGATCCGGATGAAGGCCAGGCCTCCCCTGGCTGCCGTCCCAAGCTGAACAGGAAGATTCTGCTTCAAAAGGAGCCATTTCTCTGGAGAAATTCTCATCCTTTCTACTCCACTGCGCAGGTCTCTCCTCAGCCTCCTACAGATCCTAGTTCTGTCAGAGGCCATCAGAAAGAGCCCTTCAAGTTGGGCACGAACTCAGTTCACTTCAGTGAGTAGTAGCTGGGAAGGTCGCCCTGGGGCCTACAGACTTGAATTTTACTCCCCCAGACAAATGACAAAGACCCCGAGAATCTAGAATCACTTCTAATCGACTTCCAAGGGTTGATATGAGGTTTAAGTCTCCTTCGAATGCACACAAACCTTTGAGACAGTGTGAGCTTCAGGTACAGGGAGCTGTTATCTCACAGCCTCAACTGTCTGGGGTCCAGCAGACGACGAGGAAACCACAACGGGATGTCAGGCTGAGGTCAGTGTCTCAGAGCCTACACACTTCGCCACAGAAAACACCAGAGGAACCAGCTTGGGATCTCTCTACTCATTCTCGACCAGATTTATTAGAAACTTCACGAAGCTGCTACCCAGCAACTGCAGGTTAGAGGCAGGGCGCTCCCCACAGTAAGTATAAGCGACCATTGACAATTTGGATCGAAGAAAGACACGAATTATCCTTCTTCAAACATAAATAATATATATTTATGCTTTAAAAAAAAAACTATCTTAGGGCCGGGGATTTAGCTCAGTGGTTCCGCCACCTGCCTCAAAAGCACAAAGTCCTGAGTTTGATCCCCAATACAAAAAAAAAAAAATCTTAAAACACTTTTTAAAAAAACTATATAATCTATTGAAAAGAAGATGACACATGCACTCCAAAACCTAACAGGCTGCAGTCATCTAGTGCCAGGGTGAGGTTTCATATACTGCTGACCGGATCCTGAAAGGGTTACTCTTAGACCACAGAAGAAAAAGCCGATAAGTCAAGATTTTAAACAATCAAGAACACTTATGTTTATTGTGTTATTTGATAGAATAAAATTTTAAAATAATTTTTTAAATCCTCAGTGTTCAACCTTTTTCTTTTTTGGTCTGTCACTACACAGGCTGAATATTCTAGTTCTTAAGAATATTTTATTAATGTGGGGTCCTGCAAAATAACCAGACGAATGAGGTATCATCGAAAGTTCCTTCTTTCCCAGATGTTTTCTTGTTTGAATTTAACAACACGTGAGACAGTCAATGCAGAGATTCTACCTTAAAATTTAGGAGAGAACAGTTCACAGAAGGCAGGTACCTTGCTCAAGGTCACAGGGTTGGAAGTGACAGGGTTGCCTGGAGAACCAGGCCTTTTTGACAGGGATCTTCAAGGCCCAGCAACTTTGCCTGCCCCAGACCCTGCTCTAACCTCTCAGGGAAATCTGCCGCCTCAGGGCACACCCTGGAGTTCCCACACAGCCACCAGGTGCCAAGCAACGCCAGGCATAAGGCAGTAGCAGGGGACGCAATCAAGAAGATGCATAGCCTCTACCCTCCACAAATTTATCAGCTACAAGCCAGGGTCTAAAAAGTAGAACGCAAGGCAGAAGGAGAGAGGAAAGTGTATCCGTAACCACAAGATAGAATCTGGAAAGTGCCTTGAAAGAGGCACAAACAAGCAAAGTCTGACCTCCATCTCTATTTTCTCCTTGGAAGGGCATGCTGTAGACCCTGGGCCCTGGGATTTAAATAGCAATAAATGCCACCTCTCTGATCCAGGGAGACAGTGCTCTAAGGGAGGCAGGTGACTGCAATTTTCCATCAATGCTCATGAATACTGATGTGGCACAAAAGCCCCTTAGGGCAAGACCCAGAACCAAAATGCTGATGAATGCTCTATTGTGAAGATTCATGCAAGGCTGGGGCTGTGTTCAGTAACTAGAATTCCAAGCACCACCGCTCTCCTTCTCCGAGGGAGCTTTTTACTATTGTATTATGTTAAAATTTGGAAATCTTTACAAATATATAAGGCAATTCAACCTCACAAGGTATCAAGTTTCCAGGCTGTGTGTCCCCCCAGGTACCTCCTCATCTGAATAATAATTGCTGCCATTCACTTTACAAGCATCCCTATATCTTATATGCCTCAAAGGGCAGTTTGAAGCAATGGGAAAATTACATGACTGACTAAAAACACACATGACATTTAAACTAAATTAACAGGAAGACTAGCCAAGTCTGACATATTTTGTCATGTGTCACCACTACTTAATAGAATTAACCTCATCACTTTTTTCCTTGCATTTTGTATAAAGGCTTTTGTAGAAACACAATTTGCTTTTCTGGG